ATATCCCTCTGTAATATATTCCAGCCAAAGGAACCGCAGCTGAAAGGGAATATTTGTTCAGTGTCTTGTTCATTCTCCACCGTCTAGAGTATTTGTTTAACTGCAGAAATAGGATAAATGAATGTTTTGCTCAAGAAGCAGCATTCTCATTAAACCGATTCCCAATGCAGATTTAAAGGGAGGTGGCGGTGGCTAAAGCTGAATGTATAAATAAGTGAATGTGCCCACATGATTCAAAGACATGATAAGGCGCTATAACAAATGCAGGGATTATTGTTATTATTATGATCTGTAGTTTTATTTCTACTGCAGCCACTGTTAGCCCAATTGAAAACATACCAGAACTGATTACTGTGCAGAACAGGGGCCTTTGGTTTGTATAATAAATAATTGCAAATGCAGCTTGTCAAACATCAGACGTGGCAGGATCATCCTTAAATAATGATATCAGGGAACTGCGACAGTTAATACTGAAATAATTATTCATGACACAGTTCCAATTAGATTTTACAGGTGTCTGGTTATTTCTCAACGTAGAATAGCAGGTCTCACCACCTCCGGACTGCTTTATTGAAGGAGCACTGACATGTACAAGTTCTCCCCAGATTTAATTTTTACGAATCAATGTCAGATGGAGATAATAAATGAATTAAGGCTCTTTGGACAGGCTGCAAAATGACTTATTCAAATAAAAGTATTCAATCTATCCATCAAATATAAAGATTATTATTATTATCTCCCTCACTGTCATTACAACAAGAACAAATTACTTATGTATAGTTCCTTTCACATCAGGAGGACATAACAAGGTGCTCAACAATCAAGGATTTGGACCCAAGCTGGGGGTTGGGATCAGGAGAGGTGGAGGACGTGGAGGGTGGGATTAGGAGGGTGGCTGAAGGTGCGATCGAAGAGGAGGGTCTTGAGACGTGCTTTGAAGGAAGCAAGGGAGGGAGCAAGATAAAGGGACTGGGGGATGGAGTTCCAAAGGGTGGGGGCAGAAAAGCTGAACGCCCACCCTACGATAGTGGGACGGGCTGGGCGGGGGAATGTGGAGCTGAGCAGAGGGAGTAGACAGGTTGGTATAGACTATCTATCCTTTGGGGGATGTGGCGCCAGGCGAGGGTGTCAAGCACCTTCTAACCTCCCTGCCTCTCCTGATCTCACCCCTGCTCGGACCCAAATCCTTAACTGTCTCACTCATAGGGACGTCCTTCCAACGTGAAAGGCGCTAGACAAAAGTAATTTTGTATTGTTCTGTAATCTCTGAATAAATGGCTCTAATGGAACATTTCTCGGTGGGTAGACTTTTATTCGAAGCAGTTCTAATTGGTTTTAGATTTTATCTTAATTTATTCAGCAAAAATAAATTAAATTGTTAAACACAGGAAGGAGGAATGAATCTGCATTACATAATTGCCTCCCTGGGGAGTGTTCCTGGAACAGACAGAAAGAGGCTGCTCGGAAAATGGAATTGCTGTAACCAATATGTTGCTAATAGTCACCTCTGGTGGGGGCAGCAGGGTCAACAAAAGCACAGTCAAAAAGGAGCGTCTTGAGATGGGTCTTGAAGGAGGCGAGGGAGGGGCGAGGTGGAGGGACTGCGGGATGGAGTTCCAGAGGGTGGGGACAGGGAGGAAGACCGTTGGCCTGCCCGCCAATAGTGGGGCGAGCAGGGCAGGGGATGTGAAGCAGGAGTCCCCAGAGCGGAGGGAGCAATCAGGATGAAAGGGGGTTAGGAGGTCGCAGGGGTAGGGTGGAGTAAGACCATGGAAGGTTTTGAAGGTGTGGACCACGATCTTGTACTGTATCCTCTGTGTGATGGGAAGCCAGTAGAGCTGGGCAAGGATGGGTTGATAGCGTCATAGAGCCTGGTGCAAGAGAGGACACAGGCTGTAGAGTTCTGGATGATCTGCAGCCTTTGGCGGGAGGAGTGGGAGAGGCCGACAAGTAAGGAGTTTGCATAGACAAGCCTCAATGTAATGAAAGTATATATGAGGGTTTCGGCGGCCTGTGGTGTGAGATAGTGGCAGAGCTGGGCGATGTTGCGGAGGTGAGGCAAGGCAGAGCGGGTCATGGTGCAGACGTGGGGTAGAACAACAACAACAAGAAGATTACATTTGTATAGCGCCTTTCACGTCAAGAGGACGTCCCAAGGTGCTGGACAGTGTACAGCATTTCAGAACTAGAAAGGATAGTTGAGGATCAAACAAGTCCCCAAGGTTCCGGCCGGCTTAGTAAGGTGGAGTGTGCATCCATGGATGGTGATGCTGTCAGCGTCTGAGGTGAGGAGGCGCTGACGGGAGCCAATCAGGAGAGCCTCGGTCTTGTTGACATTCAACTGAAGAAAGTTAACTCTCATTCAGGACTTGATGTCTGACAGACATTCTGTCAGGACAGCAGTGTTCCTGGAGTCAAGGGTGGAGGTAGAGAGGTACAGTTGGGTGTCATTCACATACATGTGGAACTTGACCCCATGTCTGTGGATGATGTCACCAAGAGGGAGCATATAGATATTGAAGAGGAGGGGACCAAGGACAGAACCCTGAGGAACACCGCACGATACGGTGCGGGGGCTGGAGGAGAAGCTGTTTGTGGAGATGAAGTAGAGGCGGTGTGAGAGGTATGATCTGAACCAGTCAAGGACAGAGCCGTGGAAGTTGAGGTGAGAGGAGAGTCGGTGGATGAGGATAGAGTGGTCAACGGTGTTGAAGGCAGCAGAGAGGTCAAGGAGGACAAGGAAGCTGAGGGAGCCCTGGTCGCAGATGGACAGAATGAAATTCTTCACTTTGACCAGGGCTGTTTCCGTGCTGTGGGCGGCATGGAAACCTGATTGGAGGCATTTGTGGCGGGAGAGGAAGGAGCGAAGCTAGGAAGCAATAACTCATTTCCTTGGAGAGGAAAGGGAGGTTGGAGATGGGGCAGTAGTTTGAGAGTAGAGATGGGTCCAAGGAGGGTTTTTTCAGGATAGGAGTGATGACGGCCGTTTTTAATGGGGTGGGAACAATACCAGAGGACAGGGAGAAGTTTATCATGTCTGTAAGTAAAGTGGCAAGGAAGTAGAGATGGGGACGGTGTAGTAGACAGAAGGGCAGAGGCAGCTGAGTGGATCTCCTTGACTTTGGATTCAAGGAAGTTCAGCATCGTCTCGCAGTTGTTATTGGCAGTGAGGATGGGCGAGGCATGAGAGGGTGTAGATGGTGTTCCTGAACTGATATATGAGAAGCCCAAGAGCAAGTGTTAAAGCTTTGAATTCTGGTGTCCAACCTTGGAGTGGTGTAGCTATCTGACCTTGAAGGCCGATCAGCACTTGTGGAACTGACCTCGGCAAGCGTCAGTGCATCAAAACAAATTTGAGTCCTGTAGCTCAGTGGTTAGAGCACTCTCCTTACCTAGCAGTAAAGTAGGTAAACAGAGTCATTGCTTTTCCAGGAAGTAATAATCCCTCAAAAAAATACTAATAATTTGATCACTCAATCCACGACTGTTTGTGGGACTCTGCTGTGCGTAATTGACTGCCATATTTAACCCACAAAATATACAGTCAAGTCATTTTACAGTATCTTCTATGAAGCGCTTTGAGACGTCTCGAAGATGTGATAAGGCGCTATATCAAATGCAAGGATTATTATTATAAATAATAACTCTCAACTCCAGTCTACCAATATTGTGTCCTATCTGAGATTGCCAAATGTAATAGGTTTCCACCTAGGTAGAAAAAATAGAAAAGCAGATTATTTTCTAGAAGGGGAGAGACTAGGTAGTCTTAGTATTCGGGGGGATTTAGGTGTCCTTGTACACCAACTACAGAAAGTTAATATGCAGGTACAGTAAGCAATTAGAAAGGCTAATAGCATGTTAGCGTTTATTGCAAAGTGGTTAAAGTACAAGAGTAGGGAAGTCTTGCTACAATTGTATCGGGCCTTAGTGCACCTAGAATATTGTATGCCATTTTGGTCTCCTTATCTAAGAAAGGATATACTCACCTTAGAGGGGGTGCAGGGTAGGTTCACTAGGTTGGTTCCTGGGATGAGGGGGTTGACCTATGAGGAGAGATTGAGTAAACTAGGCCTATATTCTCCAGAATATAGAAGAATTAGAGGTGATCTTATAGAAACCTATAGGATTCTTAAGGATCTTGACAGGGTAGATAGTGTGAGACTGTTTCCCCAGGTTAGAGAATCTAAAACTAGAGGTCATAGTCTCAGGATTAAAGGCCAGCCTTTTAGAACTGAATTGAGAAAACATTTCTTCACTCAGAGGGTAGTGAATTTATAGAATTCTCTGTCCCAGAAGGCTGTGGATGCTCAGTCATTGAACATATTCAAGACTGAGATCGATAGATTTTTAAAAACTAAATGGATTAAGGGATATGGGGATAGGACGGGTAAATGGAATTAGGTTAGAAGATCAGCCATGATCTTATTAAATGGTGGGGCAGGCTCGAGGGGCCGAATGGCCTACTTCTGCTCCTATTTCTTATGTTCTTATGTAATGTCAAATCACAGCAAGTTTGTGCTGTGGCTCCACACCATTGAGAACTAAGTTGTCCTGACTCACTAAAACACATCTTATGACGCATCCAAAATAAATATCATAAAATAAAATATACCCTGTAAATGCTCCCTAACATTTAAAATAAGTAAAATAAATCCTCCCTGATAATTAAAATAGAATAAATAATTTGGAATTGTCTTTTGAAGACTGTTTGTGGGACACTGCTGTGTGCAATTAGCTGCTCTGTTTCATCCACAAAATATAGTCATTTCACTCTACAGTATATCCTGTGAAGCGCTTTGAGACACCTTGACGACGTGATAATATATTAAATGCAAGGAATATTATTTCTATATAGGACTCTCACATGTTAGGGCTAATCTAGGCCCTGTTGTAAAAGGCAAATACACTGTGACTCACAGATCTCCCACACCCTACCTCACACTGTAGTTTCAAGGGGAAAGTCAATGTTTTTAATCGTGTATTAAACATTACAAACCAACCTTCAACAAAGTCAGCGGCGGCGTGCATGCGTTGATTTGTTGCTCCTTCATCTTCAGGGGTGTTCAAAGCCTCAAGAGCCACTTCAATAGCTTCCACTAACTCATCCCGCTTGTCCTTCCTGACTGGTTTCTCTTCAGGATGTCGCGTCAAACCCATCTCCAGCTGGTACACCTTCTGCAGAGTGAAGCTCTCAAACGGTACCACTGCATATTCCGTGGGCAACTTGACACCAGAATGGACCTCTGCCTTGTCTATCTGAGAGTGCAGGAACTCCAACAGGTCCCCTTGAGTTTTCGCCCGACTGCTCTGGTCAAAGTTAACGCCAAGCGAATCTCCATAGCGACCTTGCATGGCTTTGAGCTGCTCGCTTCTCTCCTGCAGCTCCTCCTTTAGCTGTGCAATCTGCTTCTTCAAGCTGTTGATGTAATTGCGGTGTTGCTCCTCGTGCTCCTCGAGCAGCACCTGGATGTTGTCCTTCCCAGTCGGACTGTTGGACCTTGGCAACACAGGCTGTCCATCTTCTGCCTTTGGAGTGCAGGCCAACATGTACAGCAAGGACACCGTGCAGCACAGGAGGACCAGGATCACCGCCAGCCGCCAAATCCAGGCAGGCATTCCTCTCCGTATCATTCTCATCCACATTGGGTCGTATCCAGTTAGTCAGTCCAGAGTGACTTGACAGCAAGAGCAATCCTCTCTGAACCGAATGGTTCAGTCCTCGTCATTCCTCTCATTTCAGACTAGGGCAGCCTTGGACTGGCAGTGGAACAGAACCTGGAGGGGCAAACACACAACGACAGAATCAGAATCATCAGCACTAACTGAAGATAGGTTACATCAGAAGGGAAATTAAGACTGTAGGGGCAAGTTTAATAATAACAATAATCCTTCCATTTGATATAGCGCCTTAGCACATCATTGAGATGTCTCAAAGCGCTTCACAGGCTACACTGTAAAGTATTTTATGGGCCTCACTCACTTGCCTCACTCCAAGTTTAGGACAGACATCAGTCAACATGTTGTTACGCTGAGGGTATTCACAGATTTGAACCAGTTAAAGTGTGGTTGAGATAAGGACCAATTTCTTCACTAAATCTGGAAACCTCATAATCTCATCAAATGAATCTTAACCAGCAGTGTTTACCAGCAGCCAAGAATGTGGTCTCAGCCGGACTAACCCAGGAGAAATTACAGTAAAGTTGAAATGAGAAGTAGAGAGAGAGAGAAAGGGGGGAAAAAGGGAAGGTAAAAAGTGACAAGAAGTTTTGAGTAAAGGTAATATTTTAGAATGTATGTTTATTATAAAATTGTCCAGTTATTCTAGTTTAGTTTATTCCAGCACTAGCTATTCCTGACGTCTAAGTATCTATTAATCTTAATGTTATATCAGTATTATTCAGCATCAGAATACATTAGCTGAAACTGTACTGAACCAGTCAGCCCACAGATACAAGAATGTGCTATAGTCCTGTGGTATTCCAAGGGTTAAACTGAAATCTGAAACAATCTGATTGAAATTCAGTCATGTTCTCCCCAGGGACGGATGTTTGAGGGAAGGAAAGGAGGTAACTACACATGCTGGTCTTGTGACCGACTGTCTGGAAATAATCCCTTAAAAACAAGAAAAATAATAAATTGGTCACTTCAATCTACGACTGTTTGTGGGACACTGCTGTGCATAATTGGCTGCCGCGTTTCGCCAACAAAACATAGTTAATTCACTTTACAGCATATTCTGTGAAGCGCTTTGAGACATCTCGAAGAAGTGATAAGGCGCTATATCAGATGCAAGGATTATTATTATTATTAAATGGTGAATGTGAATGAAGAGGCATCAGATTTATCAGATCTACTTGATTCACATTGACCATGGCCTGGGTGAGCTCACAGAGCTCAGGGACACAGGTTCTCCCATCACCTTGAACATGTGCAGCATTAATAATTTTATTTGAAACAGAAAAGCCCTCCCATTTAAAAAGAAGCCTTAAAAGGCACAGAGACGGTAATTGTTTTCTGACAGCGTCAAGCGCTCCGGGACACTATCCTGGGTGAGGGGCACTGTATAAATGCAAGTTGTTGTTGTATTCCTTCTTCAAACCCCTCCATTCCGGCTTCCGCGTTGCCCACAGCATGGAAACAGCCCTGGTCAAAATCACTAATGACATTCTGAACATCTATAATCAGGACTCCCTCTGCCTCCTTGTCCTCCTCGACCTCTCTACCGCCTTCGACACTGTCCACCACTCCATCCTTATACACCACCTCTCCGCTTTATTCAATCTTCATGGGCTTTGTCCTTGGCCCTCTCCTCTTTAATATCTACGTGCTCCCCCTTGGTGAACATCATCCGCAGACATGGGGTCAACTTCCACATGTATGCGGATGACACCCAACTCTATCTTTCTGCCTCCACCCTCAACTCCAGGACCACTGCTGTCCTGACAGACTGTCTGTCGGACATCAAGTCCTGGATGAGGGTAAATTTTGTGCAGTTGAATGTGAACAAGATTGAGGCCCTCCTGATTGGCTCACGCCAGCGCCTCAGCACCTCAGGCTCTGGCAACATCAACCTCCACGGTTTCACACCTCAACTCACCAAACCAGTCACGAACCTAGGTGTCTTGTTCAATCCTCAACTATCTTTTCTTCCCCACATCCAAACCATGACCCACTCTGCCTTCCCTCACCTCCTTAACATCACCCGACTCCGCCACTACCTCACCCCTCAGGCCGCTGAAACTCTTGTTCATGCCTTCGACATCTCCAGGCTCGACTATGCAAACTTCCTGCTTATCGGCCTTCCCAACTCCTCCCTCCACAGGCTGCAGATAATCCAGAACTCTGCAGCCGTATCCTCTCCCGCACCAAACTCCATGACCCCATCTCCCCCACTCTCGCGCGACTCCATTGGCTCCCTATCCTACAGAGGATCCAGGTCAAGATCCTGGTCCTCACCTACAAAGCCCTCAATGGTCTCACCCCACCCCATCTCTGTGACCTCCTAACCCCCTACCAACCCGCCCGCTCCCTTGGCTCAGCCAGCTCTGGCCTGCTCCACGTCTCCCGACCCACCCGCCCCACCACTGACGGGAGAGCCTTCGGCTACTCTGCCCCCAACCTCTGGAACTCCATCCCCCAATCACTCCGCCTCGCCCCCTCCTAAGCCTCCTTCAAGTTCCGCCTCAAAACCCTCCTCTTCGACCATGCCATTGGTCACCCTCCTTCCCCTCCCCTCCCTTCTCCCCCCCCGACCCCAGCTCGGGTCTGAAATGCTGTACACACTCTCCAGCGCCTTGGGACGTTGTCCCGACGTGAAAGGCGCTATACAAATGTAATCTTTTTGTTATTGTATTTGCTGTTGAAATGATTGCATTGCCAGAGAAAGCCAGAGCAACCTTGAGAAACAAAGACAAAGCAGCTTGCGTCAATGTTCAATTTAGACTGAGATGCTGAAACTACATCTGAAACTATTGGTAATTTCATATTTCATTTATTTATTTTGTTTTAATAATACTAGTAATCCTTACATTTGATATAGCAGCTTATCACATCGTTGAGATGTCTCAAAGCGCTTCACAGGATATACTCTACAGTGAATTGACTACATATTTTGTGGGTGAATCGCAGCAGCCAATTGTGCGCAGCAGTGTCCCACAAACAGTCATGGATTGAGTGACCAATTTATTATTAGTAGTAGTGGTTTTGAAGAAATTATTACCCGCGGAAAAGCAATCCACCAATCCACTAGCAATTGAGTGACCAAATTATTAATTTTTCAAATTTATTTTGTTGGAGGGATTATTACTCCCAGAAAGCAACCCACCAATAGCGTATATGATTGCATGTCATTTCCTGAGCATTGAGGATTTTGTCTCCAGTGCCAGCAACAAATGGGTTCCTACTTACTGCTAGGTAAACAGAGACTTGTGTGTGGAGTGAGGAAACTTGCCTAAGGTTACGCCTTGCCCTGGGAATCGATGCCGCGTCCCATCACTTGCTAGGTGAGTGCTCCAACCAATAAGCTACAGGACTCCATTGTATCTTTTACTTGGTCCTTTACATTCTGTGCTGAATATATATATACATATAGAAAGGGAGAGAGAGTATTTTACGTATGGTAATTAAACTATTACAATTGGAAAATCTCCATTTTGTGGAGATTATTGATCTTTTCACCTGTCTAAGTGCGGTGATTATGAAACAAAATCCTGGATTGCAAACTCTCCATGTTGGACCAGTTTTAGTGTGCAGTTTTGGTTTGGGGATGGAAGGTTACAGGACACACATCTGTGGTCAGGTTTGCTCAGAAACCTGGCAGCTTTGCATAGGCAAACAGCAGGTTCGTTTTGCTGATACCTCATGTTTGTGGCATTAAACTTCTATATAGGAGCCCAAGCGAATCAATGGATGTATTGTATTAAACAGTATTGCACTATGATAGTGTGCACGTAAATAACAGGCGTCATACTGCTTGATGATAATCACTGGCTAGGCTCAGACACAACGAGTAGCCACTTAATTGAACTGATTAGCAGTCTGGTACCTATGGAACCAAACAGCAATAGAGTACATCAGGAGAGGAAATAGAATATATGACAAAATGTGTGGGTTTAATGAAATGAACCACCTGTTGAGTCGGGCCAACAGTTCACTTTTTCCTCCAGTGGCAGTAAGCTATTAGACCGGATGTCACTCAATAATTGATTTGCTAGTACACTACTGCGCCCAACAATACATCTCATTCATGCTGTAACATTATTGTTCCCTGCAAACAAGCTCCAAAATATAAGCTCCTTGTCATGACACTGTGTACTTACATGTGCCTGCATTATAATAATAAACCTTGCATTTGATATATTTACGTACTTTAATATACGTATATTTAATAATCCTTGCATTTGTGGAGTCCTGTAGCTCAGTGGTTAGAGCACTCGCTTTGCAAGTGAGAGACCTGAGTTCAATTCCAGGCAGGGCGAAACCTGGGCAAGTTTCCTTACTCCACACAGAGCCTAATAATAATCCCTCCAAAAAAAACAATAATAAATTGGTCATTTTCAATCCATGATTGTTTGTGGGACATTGCTGTGCGCAATTGGCTGCCGCGTTCGCCCACAAATATACAGTCAATCCACTTTACAGTGTGTTCTGTGAAGCACTTTGGGACGTCCTCCCGACGTGAAAAGTGCTATATCAAATGCAAGGATTATTATTATTATAGCGCCTTATCACGTCTTTGAGGTGTCTCAAAGCGCTTCATAGAATATACTGTAAAGCATAGTGACTATGCATTTTGTAGGCAAAATATGTCAGCGCATTGCACACTAGTTGGCAAACATATTACATATTCCACCGTTGAATTCTTCTCCCATTCTAAGCCAGGTAAGGTGTGAACTGTACCAGGTTGGATTGTTCAATTACACCATCTCTCAGTTGGTATTGCTTCCATAAAGTTGTTTCAATTTTCCAAGGGGAATCTCCATGAAACCATCAAGTTAGAGCAAGAAAGTGGAGTCCTGTAGCTTAGTGGTTAGAGCGTTCGCCTCACAAGCAAGAGACCTGGGTTTGATTCCTGGAAGGGCAAAACGTTGGGCAAGTTTCCTTAGTGCACACGCTCTGTTTACCTAGCAGTAGGTAAGAACCCGGTTGTTAGTCGATTGGTAGATTGCTTTTCCAGTGGTAGTAATTTCTTCAACAACAAAAAAAAAAAATTTGGTCACTCAATCCACGACTGTTTGTGGGACACCACCG